GTGAATCGAGGGCAATTCGATGTCCTTCTCTACCGCCACCTTGGGGCTCGGCAGTTCGCCCTTCACCCCACCACTCACATTAACATCGACCTGCGGCTTTGGCATTGAAACATCCACCGTACCTTCCACGCGTGGTTTCTTTGCTTCCACACATGTAGCATTCAGTTGGCATGTCGCCTCTGGCATCTGCAGTTCTGTTTCTGCAACCATCTTCTCTTCTTGGTTTGTACTATGCCTGGTAATACCTGGTAAGAATATGTTGTACTTCGGTACTTCGAATGATTCCTCTGCTATTTGTACACTCTCTCTTTGTATTTCGGTTGGTTGTGCTTCGTCGTCTTTTACTGGCCTGGTTGGATATGCCAGTGAAATGTCTATGCGTGTCTGATGCGTCGTTGCTTCTTTTGCTGACGTATCTGTCGCAGCGTCGAATTCTGCTGTTAGATTCCCTTGCGTTCTTGGAGCTTCTGAAAACGGAATTTTCTGTTAAAATTTTGATGTCCTCCATGTCAATGTCATCGAGTCTGCGGTTTGGTTAGACACATAATCAGAAACTGTTTGCAAAATTTGGCATTTGGAAAACGCAAAACGTGTAATATCAAATAATTTCGTGGTTGTTTGGCCATCAATGTGCCTTTCAATGAGATGGTGTTTACTAAGGATTAGTGAAAAAAATAAATATTTCATTTATAAAGTAAAGACAATTGACCATTCAACACAAACGAATATAGTCAAAACAATGGTTTTTCATCGCGCTAATGCCAATCGTCTGCTGTCCACCGCTACCGCTTATGAACCTCTTGTCTAAGTATTGATTTCCAGTCGATTGAGTAAACCTTAAAGTAGGTGCGCGTTAGGGTTTTTAGAGGTGTTGGGTTATTGCATCAGAAGTGTGCAGAGGCTGGTAAAATCGATTTGGAATGATGCAAAAATGGAATTCGGAAAACACTTAGGAATAAAGTCGAGCCAAGAGTCAATCAGTGTGTACGTGCTAAATCAAGGAGTCCACGCATGCAGATTTAAATCCAAATTAATTACAACGCAGTAAAATGCATTCTTCCGTGTTTCCTACAACCGTCTTTCTGTTTTTTCTACACATAAACGCCACTAACCACCTCAATTTATGATTTCAAAGATGAAAAAATCGTTTTGACGAGACAGGCTACGAGGGACAACGCTTCGGGAAGTGGCTTTAGTGTTTCCAAACAGTCTCTCAGACAGTTAACTTTCCTGCTTTCATAGAAGCAACCATCGTGTAAGTGTTCTTTCAACTAACGCAGCATAATTTGACAAAAAACCAACCTCACATTCTTCATTGTGAACATTAGCCTAGTGTATAAATCTACTCCAGTAAGCCGTTTAGCCTTAGGTCGGCCTACGTTTTATCAAAAAAAACTATTAGTTGATAATCTTATTATGAAAGAACGGTCAAAGGCACAAACGCTTGTAATCGCCTGAAATCTTATTTCGCAAATCACCCCAGTAACGGACAAATTTACCTTACACAAAAAACGGATCAAAAATTACGTGAAGCTGATTTATGATAGTGTAATTATAGTCGAAATACCGACCAGAGATATAGTATAGTAGCAGAAGAACAAATTCTACATAAAGTAATTTAGCGAACATCATTTTTTTCCTGAATATGGGTGAAGCATTAAGACTTCTTTAAAGACGTATTGTTCGGTTAGATTTCCTTAAATGCAAGAAATCAGTCAAACTTGGTTTGAGAAATTTAATTTCGGTCACGTCATACCAACCAGATCAAACTCTTTACTAAACCAGATTCTGATCTCATGACTGGGAAATTTTCGAATGTTTTAGACTGGTTTAAAAACTCAATCATTCAGTTCGAAATTTACTAGACGCAGTATATCTTGTATAAACCATTTTCTCTTGTTTATGAAGAGAACATAAATTTGTACTGAGTTCATTCTTTCGAAGATAAATGAGACAAAAATCATGAGAAAATGTCCAATTCTGTCCCAGTGTGCACTTCCATATTGTTTTAATTCACTCAACCAACCAACCAACCAAAGCACTGCCTCAAGGTCGTATGCAAACTAGAATTTGGCAATTACCGAAAGCAATTGAATAACCACTGAATTTGGAGTTGACGGCAAGCTAATGCGCGCGAAAACATGTGAGGTAATTGTTGCCAAGATCTTACATCGTGCGCTTGACTGAGAGGTGACTCACAAGATGCATATGATGCAAGCAAGTCAAACAAAAATCAATAACTGACACGGTCTACTCACCACCTTTCTGATCCACTGATAATCGATCGCTATCGTGCTTTTTCCGCTTAGTTTTCTTGGTTTGAACTTTAGCCTTGGGTCGATGCGGCTGGTACCAGCTGGCCTCCAGGGAGTCTGTACTGCTGTCAGAGGAATGCTCAAGTCGGTCAATTTCCTCCATCGTGGTGTTCGTCGTTGTTGGCTTCTCCTCCGGAACAACGGCGGCTGCACCTGTTGCGGTTATTGCAGTAGGCTTAACCAGAATGACATCCGCGGCTGCTGGCACAGTAGCACTTGAGTCTTGTGTGTGCGCAGCACACAATTGGTCGCTGGCAGCGGGCGTGTGTGCTGGCTCGTTGAGCTGATTGAATGATGCTGATGATGATAACGGTGCAGGTTCGTGTGCACCGGGATGCTTCTTAAACGAGAAAAGCCACGCAGGGTATTTCCGTTTACTCTTTGCCTTCTTGATGTCGTCGGTTTGGGTCTGGCAATCGATTGTGCGTGTTCCCTCATAACTCCCTCCAACGGGTTGCATTGTGGTCACTGTAGTTCGGCTAGTACTTAGGGGGGTGGATTGTGCTGGGGGCAAATTAGATAGGAGTAAATCATCAGTATTAATTGACGCATCGAGGGTAGAAACTACTGAGGTTCCAACCACTTCGCGATGACGATTGATTGTGGTTGTAGAGGTCATTGAGCCGCCTTCCCTAGCCTGCACCTCTCGTGCAGACGTCCTGTAGGAAGACAGGCTGTACTCAGAGTACATGTCGCGGATCACAGGTCGATTCCTCCTGGAAGCAGTTGTGCTACTCCGCGCTAAAGAGTGCGTAGCTGTACTGCCCTGGGAGCTGATAGTTTCAAAGATTCCTGAATCCGAGTAGCCGCTGTGGGTGGATCCAAATCTGAGGGAGGAGGTAATGTGGTGTCGGCGGCTACTGCCAGTGGCTGTGGGGCTCTCCATCAGGAATTCGTCCAAATCGGAGTCGCCCTCCTCCGTCTCTCCGACTTTGCCGCCACTGGCCGTCGGTGCGACCCCTCCGAGGTCCATCTTCTTCTCGTCTGTTCTACACCGATCGAGAGAAGAAGACGGCGTTAACGTCGTATTGTCTGATTTGCCCTTCACTTCGAAATCGTGTGTCGGAGGAGAAGTCGTCTCCACGCTTTCCTGAGGCCTCTGCTCCATCAATCAAAGCGAGCTCTCTCCCTTTCGGTGATTCCGCTGCTTCACACGGTTAACCAAGAAACGGAAGGGCACCTACACAATCACACAGACTCGCCTGTTGTGTTTGTGTTTTTGGTGCTGCTTTTTTTCAGATCGCACGCGCTAGCAGCACGCCAACACTTTCGCTAATATACCTCCGATCTCGGGGCGCTTGGTTCTATATTACCTGGTTGCGTGGGCGTAATGACACGCACCTCCGCGGCCACGCGCACGTGTGTGCAGTTTCCGAATTTCAATTCGTTCACTCGAGGTCGCGGCGCCGTGTTGGTTCGATTTGAACCAGTTTGGCAGGGGTTTGGCCGCGCGCACGTATGCGTGCAGGCTAGTCGGGCAAGCTGAGCGAATGAGCTGATGCGCGTTGATTGGTCGTTGGACAGCCAATCAGAATCGGCTAATGGGAGATGGCTTTACCTGGGGTGCAGTGAATGCACGGTTGTTTTTCCCGCGCTTGCACAAGCGCTAGGCGTGCACGTGGGACAGACAGGCACGACCCGGGTAAATCAAATTAGAAAAAAAAACGCACTAACGAGACCGTCCGAGGTTCGGGGCGTTGCCATCGCGATAAATCAAGGGCGTATCGGTGATTGTTGCGTCACATTCCCACGCACGCCTTGAGACATTCACCCAAGGGGTGTGGTTCATTTTAGCCCAATTTTGCACAAGAGGTGTGACCATTAACGACTTCGCTACCATGGCAACGGAGCAGACAGATTTGCGGTGCCGGAGTCACTGATATAAAGGCTGGATCAGAATATTCAGCTAATTAACTCCATTTATCAACTGTGTGTTTTGCCGATGTTGGTCGGTTTTGTAGCGTTGTGGTGGGAAAAATTAGGCCTAAAATCTATCTTTTGAAGCCGTCTGCGAACAAATTCTGAAGTTGCCTACTGGCTTACCCCCAAAATACCTTTAGAAGTTAGTCTCGCGCTCGTCTTTAGCCTCTACAGACGTTGTCTTGGCGACGTCACGACAACACCGCTAAAGTAATCGCCACGTGGATTCGGGCAATTTTTTCACGCGAGACAACCAAGCCGCCAATCAAGAGTGTCCGCCGTTGAATCCCCTACTTCGACTACTCAGACTACGTCCCACGAGTGCTACACCCCACATAACCGTTTCACATTTTTAGTTGAATTCATGTTAGATTCGATCGCTTTAATTTACAAATAATAAATGGCATTAAAACAAACCGATGCGTCTTCCGTTTGCGTGGGAAAACAGTTGGTTAAAACACTATCCAAGTACAGGAAGGAGATTTACAGCAGCACTTTATTCTGCAGATGAAACCAACCAAATTTCTCCAGGAGTTCAAACTAATGTCGTTTTGTTCAAGTTGAGGGTTGCAATGAAGAAAATGCTTTAAACGATAACAATTTTTTTTTATCATGGGAAGTTGAATCCCAAATAAAGATATTACATCATCTCAGTTGAGTGGACGAACTTCTTGGAATCGCCACGTCATTCGAAGTGGACGCATGTTCACCAACATATCTTTACGAAAACCCGCCAACCCCTCTACGACTTATCAATTACAAAACCGAGATTAATCACAGGGAAAATCACACTAATTCAGAGAGAGGTGCGTGATTACTTTCCAGGAATCATGCTAAATATTTTACTTAGATGATGTTTTTGCATAAATGTCGACCACAAAGTTAGCTGGTAATTGTCTGAGCTGGTAAGAACCGTAATGCCGTCCCTCTTCAAGCCGAAAACTTGAAGAGGGACGGCATTTCAAGAAAACAGAGCATAAAAAACTATTCCGTTTACGCCGCCTACAAAACCGCATATCGATTCGTGTTTAGTGCCAGGTAAAAGTGCAGATGTATAAGCATGTCTTAACCCAGATCCGTCCAACTTGGAGGTGGTTTAATCTGGTTTTAACCGAAAGTGCATCCCATGACCGCTAATTCGGCACGAACTAACCGCTGCGTTTGAGTACAACCACACGCAATAACTCATAGCGGCTGCCGTGTGTGTTAGCCAAGAACAAGGCGATTGTCAGTGGCTTTGCCATTTCGTGATTGGGGCATTTGTGTGGTTGTGTTAACTGCGTAGAAAAGGTACATTACATAATGTATGCACCACACTTACTTGTCAGGTTAGTTCGCGCGTTCCAAAGCCCTATGTGCATCATCTTGTGGGTTAGCCTATTCCGATACAAAATATTTGGTGTTTTGTAAAAGAGCCAATAAATTCACCAATTTTTTGACCTTGATTTTGGGACATCGGAGACGGCAAGCAGGCAAGTGAATGGCCAATCGACATTTAGTCAAAATGTGCGGGGAATAAATGCCACTGGCTGATAAATTTAGATGACGTATCAACCCCTCAGGCGAATCGGGTGGCAGATTTCATACACGCTGGTTCGGAAACGTGTGGAATATTTCATGATGGAAGAACCCTAGCTGAATGATGCGTGGAAAACAATTTTGACAATGACCAGTAAATATAAATCAGGCGAAGAAAATTTTCTTGAAATTTCGAAAATACAAACTGCGCAGTATTACTGGTCTGTAACAGGTGCGCTTTCATCAGTTCATTCAAAATGGCAAAGCTATGTGTGTATGGAGCCCTGGCAACCTTGGTGTAACTCATTTAAACAAAACATTACGTCGCCGTCGTTTCAAACGTACGTCTCATGGGTAAGTTGTCGCTGAAACTGGTTGTTCCTTAGGCCCAAAATAATGTCAATGCGTGCCAATGACCTTTGTCAAATACCGTCGATTTGGCTTGTCCAAATGAAGGCTCTTTCGTGAGTCAGGGCTGTTTGTGGCATTTGGAAGAGACCGGGCTTCTGGTCAAAGATTGACGCATTTATGTCCAAGTGAAATCTAGTCACACTTCACTGCAGTCTTATTGTAAATTCTACAACCTCCTCTGTGTTTTCGACTTCCATGGAAGTCAACGAAGTGAAGGCCTATTGAAATGTGACCTTGCTAGTTATCACAATCTCTAACACCGCAAATTCAGAACTCTCTCCCACCAACACAGCAGCCAATCAAAACGGCCTGCTTCAAGGTCGTGGGAGATGCATCAATGTGCCTCTTCGCAGTCCAGGACAGTGGTTTTCCTCATCCTCTGAACACGCTTCATTTTGTCCCTCAAATTGTCCAGCGAAATGGATGCTTGCAACAATCAGGGCGAATTTCTGCGTTTAAGTGATCTGTGCCACACTGTGCCAAGGTCACTGACACACAAACCAATCATTCGTCGTGTCTCAGATCGATTGATGACATCATTGGTGTGATAAGACGCTGTTATCTCTACACAAGTACACACACACACACACACACGCACACAACATGAATGTCACAATTCGAATGAAACTGTGCACGAATTGTTTACTTCCGATTTCGCCAACCAATCATCCGTGCAAAAACTGATCCGTTAAAGCACTTCCTTAGACGCTGGCACCCTTCCGAGCGTCATGTGAGCGGCGATTCGATTGCGAGGCGTAAACCACTGAACCAATTAATCATCCATTTGTACCCGATATCCTCAGTCGGTTTGTGTGGTTTTTTGCGCATCACATCGCATCATCAGCGCCGTTCGTTCAAGGCACGAAATTCAGTGCGACAGCAGCGTGATTCCTAATGCTAGTAGGCGCTGGTCAAATGTGACAATACAATTTATGCCAAGTCGTTCATTTGGACACACTTTTGTTCCGATTTAACTATCAATAATCGATCAACTGGCTCTAATCAAATATCACCCAGGTCCTCATCGCCTGTCAAATCACACACTCACACCAACTGATCATTCCAGTGATTGTGAAGTTCATCGTTTGAACCACCTTGCGGTTGGTTAAACGTCTACATCTGTGCCCTATTCCAGATGACCACACGGCTGTTTCGTGATCTGACCAAGCCACAGAGAAGCTGGACGGTATCCCTTAGAATCTCTTGTTGAACCTGCGTCCACTTCGACTTCAGGGATGTGCGTCAGGGCCGCTGCATTTCGCTTGTGTATACAGAGGTTCCCAACATCGATTCCACATCCTGACACAGTCCACAGACCCATGATCATCGAGGCGTCATCCGTGATGCCTGTAAATCTACATTGGATCTGCATCTGCATTATGAACGCCCACAGAAACGACGGTCCACGCTTCCACCAATGGCAGCCTTGCAAATCTAGCCTCTTCGATTTGAATTGAGATTCCAAGCTTTCAACTACGGACCATTTAATAGGTTATTGTAATCATTCAACCACGGAACTCAGAGATCTTTTACTTAAATTTGGAAATGTCTTCCTGATGCATCAAACAGTCCCAGGATTTTGGATGTGTCCTCCAATCTAGCGTATTCTTGAACATCACCGATCCATCACGCTTGCGGCAGTATTAAGTTTATTGAGAAACGATGTTGCAGGAGATGTCTTGAGCAACACTTTGACCTAGTTGTCTAGTCTTCACGCATTACCCTTCTGAGTTGAAATGATAGCACACAGGCACACTGCTTTCTGGGTTGCCGCGTAATTGCGTTGTCAATTGTGTGCTTCTCACCGCACAAAAGAGGTGTTTAATGACCTAACCAATGCGAAAGTGAATAAATTTGTGTGGGTGTGAAAAATCAACAAGTGCGCACCTTTACACATACCCAAACACTTGTTGTGGGCCCCAGCATGTGGTCTTGAACCACGCCGGGACCAAGGAATTAACTCTGGCCCGATTACGCTTTCCTGATGCCCGCGATGAAGAAAAAGATCGGAGAGGACATGGACACAACCGCTTACCTTAGAGCTCAACCACGTTGGTGTCGTTGTGTCGTGTGTGGGGTTTGTGCGTGTGTATTTATACCTCGGATGTGTGTCATACATACGACCTAGGTCTGAGGATAGTCTAAATAGCCGTGTGAATGCGGGGGGAGTTGAGGATCCGCGCGGCTGGCGACATGCTGCGAAAAGGGGAATCCTGTGTCGGAGGTGGAGCGACCGGATTAAGGGGTGTGAATAAACAC